GAACAATACATGGTCAAGATAATCTCAATACTGACCACACCTGTGGATCAACCAGGTTTACTTTAGGTTTCCATGGGAACCACACATGTCATGAGAGATACAGGGTTCTACATACAGGTAGTAAGTAGTACATGTGAAACCAACTGTAGTTTATAAACAACAAAAGAACTAGTAGAGTTTCCCAGGGGATGAAACCATCATGCACTAGATCAACTACAATCACTCAACATTACAATTTCCACAAAATGGGAGATATTCTTACCTTTTAATTTGTCCAAACCTAGAGAATATGATTTCTAAATCCTCGTCAGTCGTCACAGGATTTAATTTACACACAAATAAAACATTTTCTGGAGGCTTGATATCTGCATCCGGTATATCACCAACCTTAAAAATACAGCATGTTTGATGTAGAAAGAATGATAAAGTATAACATCTGGCTAAGTTATGATAATCAGAAAATGGTTTCTCACACATTGCTTTCACATTCCAATTGTACAAAATTGTATAATTGGAGTGTGAAAGCAGGGCAGGAAAAAATAATTTTCTTCCTGGGAGCACACCCTGGAGACAAAAATTTCCTGCAGACCAACAGAGTATTTTTTGTGCTAAATCTGCATGTGCATAAACATACAGTGTTCTAGCTGACCATGGTTTTAAATTCAAGGAATAATGTCTGTCAACCATATGTTGTTGCGCCCATACTGGGACATGGGTGTTAAGATTTCCTTCAAATTTTCAATAGCAAATCTTCATTCAAACTTTAACATTTGCTGCGAGCAGTGCTCGTCTATTTTTTCTACCTGAGTGTGTGAAAGCGATGTGTGAGAGATTAAACATACTAAATATCTCAAATTATTGCATCCTGGGGGTATTGAGAAAGTGCATGAAAGTTAAAACTGTATGTAATATGTATATGAGTATTTCTCATACCATTTCCAGTATCTGTGCACCAGCTTTAAACTCTTTCTCTTCAATAATTTCTTCAACTTCATCCAGAGTTTTGCCTTTTGTGTCATCAATCTCTTCATCGGCACCAATACGACCACTCTAAACAACAACTTTTTGTTTCACATAGATAATACTTCAAACTAACACTAAACTAACTTTCAGGGCTTGAAATAACAGCTGATCACCGATCAATGATCGGCAAGAAATTGCTTATGATCGGCAGAAAAGCAGGGTTACCTGAAAAAGCAGGGAAAGTCATGACTGCCTATCAGCATGATCGGGAACTTTGGGAACGTTATTTCAAGCCCGGAACTTTATTAAACCATTGAGCACCAGTGCTCTCCCCTTCGCAAGTAAAATTGTGTGACATTACACAGTAGAATAGTAACGTAGGGCACATTCGGCCACTTTGGTTAATAAACAACCAATAATATAGTTTCAAAGCATACAAATCTTACATCCAGTTGTTCTTTGGTTGGTTCAGGAGATCTATCTGGTACTTGAAGTCCAGCGGGATCATCAAAAGGGTCATCCAATATTACTGTGTGAGTGATCCTTTTCCAAACGAAAAAATAAAAACTATAGTTAATAAAGCTTGACTGATCAGTGTAGTACAATATAAAGGACTTATTAAGGATGCCGGAAGCATGCACAACCCGTCCACTAAAGCAGAAAGTTAGAGCACAACAAATTATGGAGGCCACATTCAGAAATATTCAGGTGCCAGTTTGGTTAGCAATATATTCTTATTTATTTCCTGTCCTTTAAAGACGGCGGAAGTCTGTTCTGCAGATTGTTCACATTTTGAGGACACTATATTCATAAAACATCATGGATTTAGTTAATACTGTATCTAACATTGTTCTGGTTTGCTATATGCTTTTAAATTAATTAGAATATAGATTCTTAATTTAGAAGATTTTGAAACAATGGTGATATTTGGGTATTGTTTACATCAGAGGATCCTCACATAGCACATGCACAAAACAGACTTGATCTCTTCTTTAATGTAAATTAGGAATGCCCCTCACTCCTTTAGTGCCCCAATTCCTTCACTGAAGAAACAATCCTATACCTGACATCTTGGTATGGACAATGCTTATCATCACAAATGGTCTCATTTAATTTGTCCAAGATATCATATCCCTCGGCAACCTCACCAAACACAGTATGTTTACCATCCAAATAATCCAGGTTTTCACCAAGAGTAACAAAGAACTAAACACAGCAAACACTCAATAGTTAGTATTTTAAGGTTGTGTAACAAAGCTGTAAATATAACAATAATCTTTCAACCATCAAAGCACTGGTAGAGTAAAAGGTTAAGCTATATATTGCATGAAGACAATAATCATCTGGTAAAGAGTAAAATAATAAAGTAGAGCATATTATATTAATAACTAACAGAGTTGGAATGGCAGAGCATTGAGCTAGTATTCCAAAGGTCGTAGGTTCGATTCCCACCGTACATGGCCAGGCATATTTTTCAAGCTTGCCCGGTGCGGATTTACACTCTGAGTAACATCACAAATATCAAACTACAAAAGGTTTGCAAAGTGTCTACCACTGCTTTTTCTATTGTTCAATGGACTAAGCAATCTATAAAACTTCGGTTGATAGAGATGCAACTACCGGACAAATACAAGGATAACATCCACGTTTCGAGCGAAGGCCCTTTGTCAGCTCTTCACTAACTTTCTGACGAGCATTCATTCAAAGTTCTCCTTGTATTTTTCAGGTAGTTGCATCCCTAGGGATCAACCAAAGTTTTGTTTGGGCATAAAAAAAATACCTGTGGTTCCAGTTCCCGACCAACCCTATTTTTTTCTGCCGACCCTATTATTTTTTCAACGCGATTGACCGTGCAACCCTATTTTCTCCAGGTGGTTGCGGGCTGCTCATACAGCGTGCCAAAATGGCGTCTGTTGTCACACTAATTATTGAACCAAATTGCCTAAATTCGTCCATAGGAAATACGCATCTCTAGTTAACATTGATGTCGGGACTCAACTGCAAATCGCCAAGCAAAAAACCGCCAAAACCATGAAAAAAAAGTATTAAAAAAATAAATTATTTCCGACCTACCGACCCTAATTTTTTCACGATATGAACCACAGGTATTTTTTTGTTACGCCTTATATCACTACCTACACTGGCACAGACCAGAGTAAATAATCCATACCTGAGATCCATGCATATCATCACCATTATTCACCATCGACACAGTTCCTTTCTTAATGTGTTTGATTCGAGGTTTAGTTTCAGCATCAAAGAATTTGGCTTGGTCTCCATAAAGTGATCGAAATATCGATTCTCCTCCACGACCCGACCCAGTTGGATCCCCTGTTTGAGCCAGAAAGTTTCTCTGCAAGGAGAAGATTTCACATCTCAATAGACAATTCCCATTTATATAGACTAATTTTAAAACTAGGCAAGGAGATGCAAATAAATCACCACAGCTAGAAAGAGCATACTAAAATTAGTAAAATTACAAAATTTGGTTGTGAAATGTTGTAAAATGTGGAAAATATAGCCTTGCAAAGTTTGCAAATTTTGTATACTTTTGTATCGCGTGCGATATATTTGTATACTTCTGTATTGCGTGCGAAAAGTATACAAAATTTGCGAACTTTGCAAGGCTATATTTTCCTCATTTTACAACATTTTGCAACCAAAATTTGTAATTTTACTAATTTTAGTATGCTCTTTCTAGCTGTGGTGATTTATTTGAGTTTCCTTACCTAATTTTAAAATTAGTCTATAATGGGAATTGCCTATTTATAGAGTTCTACCTGCGCAGGACTAAACACATTCTAATGAGATAAAAACTTGAACTAGTGTTTATTGAGAGGAGAATAGTTTACCTGAATAAAATGGAAAAGGCTGTAGTTATAGAATTTCACTTTACATAACTTTAAGAAATTCAGGCACGCTAAAAAAGACAAGTACTCAAAAATTAGCAATTTAAAATCTCAGGTGACTTTGTCAAAGGACAACAAAAAATAAATTTCTAGGTTACCTCTTGGTCTTTCCTCGGTAAAAAGATCAATAACTAAATCTCCAATAGTTGTTTCAAGTATGACCGACATCGTTCACCACTTAACTAACTATTAACAGCAATTCTTTTTAAATAAACTTAGAGAAAAACATCTGCACATTTTGAAATTTATATTTCGACCGCCATCTTGAACACGGGGGCACATGTAGGGATAATTTGGGACTTTTGGGTATTCATAGAAGGGTAGGGATTCATATTTGCGGGGGTTTTTTGGAACACTCTGTAGTTCTCTACATATTTTCATGCTATTTGATTTAATTTAAGTTATTATATAAAATTAAAAAGATTATATAAAGGTATAAAATTCTTTATTTTTCTGCAACGTTTCGGTTGCGTGACCACCAATTCAACCTGATACTCAGGGTTTTCACTTCCGCTATATTCTCAGGCACTCCAACAACAAAACAGCACTCATCTTCGCTTTGCTGTCCTCTGTTTCTTAGCGCGACTGTTATCTTTCTGATGATCAGGTTTTCTTTTCAATCCTTTCATCTTGCGTGTTTGTAGTTTGCTGTAGTCCTGCCGTTGCATGTGTATATTGGCCAGTTTTGAACCGAATGAATCGTGGGAAACATTTTTCGTCTTCTTTGGCTAAAAGTAAAAGAGAGAAGGGTTGTAAGCGCTTGCAAAATTGGTTCCACTTTGACTCGATCAAACACCGCAGGACTCCACTGGAACAATAGACAATGACCCTGATACTGAACGTCTAGGGAGAACAGTTTAGAACTTATCAGGGTTGGTAGGTTAGATGAATAATTAGGCCAAATCGTCATTAGTGCCGTTTAGAAAACAAAAGGCCAAGACAAAGATGTCTAGGAAGAACAGTTTAGAACTGATAGAGCTGCCCAGTACAATGTTCAGAGTGTCAATTCTGTTTTATTATAATACTCTATGGCAACCGCAATTTTTTTATCCAATATAAACTGAACAACTTTGACACGGACCTTAAGAGTTTTGGGTTTCTTAACGGCTCTCTTCCAAAGATCATCAGATGCCAACTTAACCCGTCTTTTAACAAGATCAAGAGATGGTCCTATTTCCTCCAATTCAACTCGTGGCGTTCTTGTCCCTGATTTCTTTAATTGAATTCTAAAACTCAAACCACAAATTTGAATGAAATTCTTTTCTTCTCACTTGCAAGTAATTAGTTTAGATTTTGTATACACACCTATAACTTCGTAGGAATATTTTTCCATCCAGCTCAGTAAACTGTATAACATGTTCCAAACCTTGTAATCTCACGTTTTCAGCATTAGGACCACGAAACATGTCTGGACAAGAATAAGAAAAACAACCATTTTATAAACATACCAAAGTATCCTATTTGTTCAATTTCTTATCTCTCATAATTAGGAGACCCTTAAAGGAGTAATAACAGATATCTGAATTTTCATATACAGTTAACAAGAACTAACCTATCAGAAGATTCTTTAGTCTGGCATATTCTGGATCAGAATCAAATACCTCACCAACAAAAACCAGGCAAGGTTTGGTGCCTGCTGCACACTTCTCAGTCTTCAATACAAACAATTATGTCACTGTCATATGTATAGGTAAGTAGGTTACCATGTGAGGGGCGGGGCAATATCAGAATTATCGCTTGAGGGACGGTATCATAAATGTCACAAGTGACCAGACTTGTGACCACAGTGCATAAGGGAAATTTATGATATCATACTAAAGGTGATAAAACTGATGTTGCCTCATCCAGATTATGATAACCTGTTTATTATATACTTGTGCCTTTATCACAGTCAGAATTTGTTAGAGTATTAATCATTGCCCCAGTGCAACAATATTTGGGACAAAAAGCAGTATCAGTGACAAAAACAATATCAGTGACATGTCACTCTATTATTGCACTGATAAAGGTACAATATGTGAGAGCTCTTTTATTAAACACAACAGAATTTCACATACCTTAAATTCTTGTAATGAAGCAAACTTTTCAATGCCTAACTCAACCATGTCCAAGATATGTCCATCAAAAAACCGTCCTTATAATTTGACATAAAAACATTTAAACCAAAAATGAAAGCTTTAAAATTCTCCAAAGCCATTGATGTTCTACTAACCAAATACAAGATTGTGAGGTCTTTTCTTGGAATGTGAGCCAAATACAAATGTTGATGCATCATTTTTCTTTGAAAAAAATTCCTGGAAAATATTATTTTTATACTATTACTATGATATATTTTAGTATATTCCAACACCATTAAAAAATTGTGTTTAATAAAAATGCAGGGATAGACCCTTCTCATACATTTGCTGAAATTCTTGTGACTTACAAGAGAAGTTTCATCTTCAAATGGTCGCAAGACATTTTTCCTGGAATTGAAATAAAAATTATCAAGACAAAAGGCTATCGTCGTGATTCATGATAATGATGTCACAAGTCTGTCTTTGGCATGTGGGCCTGGTTACAGAATAAAGACACACAGAAGGCAGACTCGAGTAACCGCTGCCACGCCATGATTCATCATCAAAATACTGATGCCTTGGTTCTAGCCAGTGCGTGTTTGAGAGGCATTCCCCCCAGGACGTCTGCCATTTTGAATATCATCAGGGGGGTGAATGCCTCTGAAACGTGCACTGGCTAGGACCATGGTGTTAGCATTTTGATGACGAATTACGGTTACGCCCAAGGTCATTGGAAAATCATAGGAAAAACCAAGTCAGGCTTCTGTGTAGTCTATTCTGTGATATGGTCATCAAAAGGGTGTATTATATTATACAAAATCTCTACAGAGCATGCTTGACATTCTTCTCACCTTCTAAACAATACAGAATGCGGTTTTTTGAGCATACACTAAACAAAACACAATGGTTATTGCTCAATATTGAAACATTTTGTGCTGCCATGCAATTAAAGTTAGAAATATCAAATATCAACTTACTCGCATATTAAACCTTTGTATAAGGACTGGTAATTACTCACCAAATCTTTCAGTGCCTGAGTAACTTTTTCACTCGTCCGTCCACCGCGAATAAACATCGTTGTCTTGGTATTTTCAACAAGCTTTGGTTCTCTGGCTTCGAGAAACCGTCTGCCTTTATGTGTTTTTGCCCGCCTAAATACCAAATAATTCAAATATTATGAAGCATTATGTACTGAAATATATCTGAACAAACATATTCTTTTAGTAGCTTGGAAATACATAGACAAAACAAAGAAAAATAAAGAAAATTACTTTATATCTTTTGAAGCACTTTTTGCGGCCATGATGGATTGATGAGTGGTAACTGGGGTCGCTTGTGGATTACAGGACGGTAATAATGAACACTTATGTACTTTTGGTGTTGGAAAATTTCTGTTTCCACTTCTCTTTTTTTTTGCACAAACTGACAAGGAAATTACAGTGAAAATTGTGGAAGTTATTGGTTGACCAATCACGAGCCGTACTTTTGTTAGAAAATCCACGTGACCAAACAAGATTTTTGTCGCTGTTTTGCAGAGTGTTATACCAATATTCATAGTTTGCGTGCAGGCTAGTATCTGAACATTCTATTATTTCAGACTATAGTCAAGAACTGGCCAACCAGCTAATATATAATGAAGTAATAAATATTACACTTGTTGCCCGCGATTAAGCGCCTCAAAACCTAAGAATTACCCAGTAATATCCAGTTACAGCAACTGGGAACAAAAATTTATTTATAATTATCTTACAACTACAAAACGCAAGCAGTTAATGGAAATTATTAATTGTTTGTGGTCACATATTTCCTTCGACAAAAAAAATACTCATCAAACCGTCAGTGAAGTTCCTATTCTAGTTCCTCCAATCAAAGAGTATTTCATCATTGAGTATCCTCAGAGGTATCATTCACAGAGATATCATTTGCTTGCTCAAGATTATTCTCGCAAGGTTGCTCATTTTGTTCTGGTTGTTTGTCCTCCTCCGCTTGATCATCTGTTGAAAAAAATGACTTTCTTTTGAAACATTTCACAAACAAATATATTTATCGCCACTGCCTGTAAACAACATATTCTTGAGCTATCTTTTTATACTGCAGACTTGGAAGGTTTAATGCTTCTGCAAGGGATGCTGAATTTGCCTTTTTCAAATGTCCCTCAATAGTGCGTGTAAAAATAATGGACATTTTGTATACTGTCAAGTCAGGACTATCATGTCTAAACTGTTCCCTCTAGGCTAGAGATACAAAATAGGACATCCCTTAGTGGTGGTTTATTGCTGTTTGCAACAAAATCTGATTTCAACGCATGTTAAGTAGAAATGTTGACACATGTTGCCTCGTGATTTGTAATTTATGTGTAAACATTTTCAATTAACATGCGTAGAAATCAGATTTTGTCGTAAGTTGCAGAAATTTTGTTGCTCGTATTACTCCAGCTTATCATACCTTCGCAACATTCCGTTTCTTGTTTCCCATTGGTTCCATCTTCTGCTGACTCAGCAGGGCATTCATCTTCGGTCGCTTCAGTAGGCTCGTCTCCAATCTCTTCAGCACTTTGCCTGGAATGTTCAGCTAGACAATCTGAACAGCTAATTTCCTTGTCCCCTGAAGATTCCTGTGGATGCCTTTCGCTTTCAGTGGAAGTGTTAGATGTGGAATTTTCACCACTATCTGGTTCACTTGGAGTCTGCTCAGCTTCGGGTTTGAGATTGCTATCACTTGAACTGTGACCATTTTCCACAGGACTCGGTGACGATACAGATGTTTCCTCGACAGTGGTCGATGTCTGCATTGTAATGTATTTTATGTACGTTAAAATATAGCTAAACCTAAGATAAATTGACTTCATTTACAATGGATAGCTCTATCAGTTCTGAACTGTCTTGGGTAAAATAAGACCGAGATTTTGGTCATCTCGGTAGTTAGAACTAACAGATGGTTTTTTGTAAATGAAATTTTTGAACGTAAATTTTTATACACTGTTCTCCCCCAGGAGTCACCCTTAATCCTTTTTTGTCCAGCATGTCACTGCAGGAGAAAATCTGTACTGGATAGCTCTATCACGTTTTCTATAGATCCAGTAAAGATAATCCCTTATTAGTTCCGTGTTACTACAGGAGTACAGGAAGAAACCTAAACTATGATAAATTAAACTAACTTTATTTATACTAGCTCAGAAACCTCTACTTACTTCACGTGATGGTTGACTATTCTCCAATTTTTGACTCAACTCTTTTCTTTCGGTTTGCAAGGCTCGACATAAGTTTTCCAACTTTAAGTTCTTCTGTGTTATTTTTTGAATCTGTTCTGATTTTCTTGTATTCTACAACACAACGAAAGTAAAACATTATGGTGACCCAGTAAAGCCATCCCTCATTGTCCAGTGTTAATGTAGGAGGAGACCGGAGTACCCTCGAGAAAACCTGGTGTGTCTGGTTAAAAGCCAGAACTCCCTTCTTCAAATGCAAGAACTCCCTTTTCAACTGCCAGAACTCCCTTTTCAAATGCCAAAACTCCCTTTTCAAATGCCAGAGCTCCCTTTTCAAAATGCCAAAACGCTCTTTTCAAATGCCAAAACGCCCTTTTCAAATGCCAAAACGCCCTTTTCAAATGCCAAAACTCCCTTTTCAAATGCCAAAACTCCCTTTTCAAATGCCAAAACTCCCCTTTCAAAATGCCACGACTCCCTTTTCAAATACCAAAACGCCCTTTTCAAATACCAAAACGCCCTTTTCAAATGCCAAAACGCCCTTTTCAAATGCCAAAACGACCTTTTCAATTCCGTTTTCAAAACGGAATTCTGGCGTTTGAAAACAATTCGGGTCAACTGAAGAATACTCACATCTCCAGCTAACTCAAGTAACGACTGATTACTTTTCTCCCATTTCTGTTTCCACATAATTGTTTCTTTTTCCAATTTCTTTATCGTCTTTGTCATCTGCAAGATTATACAAAAAAAACGTCGACTCATATTTAGTAATGCCTTACCGAGTCAGTACCATAAAATAAAAATTCCTTACAGAGTCAGTACCTAAACCAATAATAAAAATACACAATGAAATGCAGTAAGGAAAATAATAAAGGTTCAGATTTCCACCACCGCTAGCATTAAGAGATCTTTAACCAATCAGATGCCTTTAATATATCCGATTAATCAACGTGCTAAACCAGCGAGAGGTAGTGGAAGTCAAATTTCTCTAATAACAAAGACAATACCTTGTCCATTTCTTTCTTGAATGTGCCAAACACTTCATTGCTTTTAGTCAGTGTCTTCTGAAATTCTTCGAATTTTTCAGTGTACATTGAAAGCTAGAAAAATAAGAGTAAGATTTATTAATCTCTGAAAACCATTGAATGATAGCTGAATAACTACTGTGTAACAAAGCTGTGACAATAATTTTTCAACCATGAAAGCACTGGTAGGCTATAAATTAAGCTATATACTACATGATATGTAAGGCAAAAAAGTTAAAAGAACGAAGATTTTCAGCAACAGAAGGTTGTCATATAAGCTACAAAATGGAGCCATAGTTGGTGACGTCAATCCCCCCCCCAACCAATATTTTGTCCGCCAGATATGCTTACTTGAAGTTTCAGCTCAGCCTCGTCTTTCACGAGTTGTTCACATTTCTTCTGATACTCCAACGACTCTTGCAGCAGCAGCTGTTTCTCCTTCAGAGCTTGCTCTCTTTCTTCGTTCAGAATTAAAGTTTGTTGCGCTAATTTTGCTTCCAGCAATTGATTTTCTATCTGTTTGTGTTTTAATACTTTATCCACATACTATAAAAAAGCAAATGTGTATGAAGTAATGCTGTGGTTATAACGAACTTGAAAAATTCTGGAAGTTCTATTTAAATATTTTTAGGTAGTTGTATTAATGAAATCTTTATTTAAACAGGGTAGCTTTGTCAGGTGCTGAATACACTTGTTATCAATCTGATAACACCTGACATCCTTCACACTGCAACAGTCTCATATTTTTTTTTATGAGCAGATTATCTGAGGTCATACCTGTTCTCGCATTTCATATTGGTCCACCAAGCCTTTCAGTTTTGCTGCCAACCTATATTAGTAGTGTTACGTTAAAATTTTTGATAAGCAAGTGATATTATTCAGCAGCTATTGTGAGATGGTTGCCCCCTCCCCAATGTCACCACTGTAGACTGACAGACTAGAACAAGCTGACAAATATGTGATGGTTGACCAGCTGACCCATTGACTGATTAATTAACCAACCAACCAACCAACCAGCTTACGAATATGTGAACCAACGAACTGACCAAATGAACAACCAACCGGCAAATTGGCTGACAGCCTCACCAACCAACTGATCTACAGAGACACTGGGTGACTGGAATATGAATGCATGTACAAACAGTTCAACATACTCAGCATTGTCAGTTTTCAACTGCTGGTTCTTGGAATGATTATCTTGCATTTGATTGGTTATTTCACCAATAGATGATTGAAACTTCGTTGAGAGTTCTTGACGTTTTGTCTCCTCAACCTTCGTTCTGTGATCACACTCTTCCTACAAATGATGAATAATTCATTCAGCATTTGATTGGCTACACTGCTAAACATGATTTGGTATATGTAGTGACAGGATTTTTTTGCACTTCGTTTGGTTGAACTTGAATGCTGGGTTTGGTGGATAATCCAAGTGAACTTATATATAAATTAAGATGTACCATACCAGGAACGATTGCAAAAAGTGCAACACTAGGTCCTCGAGCAGGAATCAAACCTGTGGCACTGCTATTCGGGTCCAGTGCTTTGAATTGCAGAGCCTCAAAAAACAACTGGTTTCTGCTAATGAGAGGTGTCTACTTACAACAGGTGTCACCATGTACCTACCTTCATGAGTCGGTTATGTTTCTGTAGCTCACGACAAAGACTTTCTAATTTTGTCAAAGCAAGTTTAGATTTCTTGTACTGGCCATTCAGATCCTCCTTATCTTTCATAAGCTACAAAATACATTACACAGTAAATATAGAAATCACATTAAAAATAAATAATTCAACCCTTTTATTATTGTACTCTGTCCAATGTCAATTTTACTCATCAAAGAGAGAGTTGTGCACATTAAACACAAAAAATATATACACAGTACATTAGAAAACTTGCATGTTCTTATAAATGAAAAAAGCGTCATTATAGAATACGTACCAAACTACAACGCTTTGAAAGTTCATCGATTTTATATTCACCAGTTTTGTGTTCTACCACCTGAAACATATCAAAGTTTATGTTACTACTTGTGTTTCTAAACATAGGGTTGAATGCAAAATAAAATGTGTGTAGTATTGTTTTGTTGTTTTTTTATATCTGTTTATATTAGGAATTATGATACTAACCATTTGTACAAGTCGTTTTGCCATAACTTGCAGGGACTCTGTTTCATTTTCACTTCCACTAAGTGCCTCTATAAGCTGGCCAACTATCACAAGAAAGGTTATATCAATGTGATTCATGGAAACAATATCGAAAGAAATACAACACATGAAAAATACAAGATTAATTCTCCTTGTATTTTTCATGTAGTTGTATCCCTATCAATCCAGAGCTTTCTTATTATTTCCACTACCTACAGACTAGTGATGCACCAATATGCAAATTCACTGATATTCCAATATTGAAGGACCGATATTTTTCAGACACCAATATTCCATGTCATTTCACAAAATTCAAAGATGACATCATCAAATTACTGATACCGGTACCGATATTTCTATTTTAGTACCGATAAACCGATACCAATACACCAATATGGGTATCGGTGCAACACTAGCACAGACTGTTCAAAATCATATCATTTTGAATCACAAGTCACGTGTGCATAGTCGACAAATATCAAAGAAGCTGGATTGTCATATAAATGCTTAACTGGCAGGCAAGATTAAATGCGCAAGTCGGCCAGATGTCCGACAGCAGCTCCATGCTGTAAGTCACAAACAAATTTACGCTGGACACTGTCTGGCACCCAGCAGTAATAACGAGGCCTGCAAAAAAGCAAGTTTAATTAAATTATATTTATAAACAAACAATATTATTGTATGCTGTATCTAGTTGTTGTACTTATTGAGATAAGATCTTCAGGAATTGCCAGACTTTAATTATTAATTAATTAACTATTCCCCTGACTTCAACCATTTACTAATGCAGATCAATATTCAGCGATTATTTTGTAAATATTTCTAAATCTGATAGATGTAAACAGGTAATATGACTGTTATTTAAAGTATCTCTACAAAACTGGTACAATTACAAACCGTACAATACAATATGCCATTTTTAGTGTACATACTTAACGTTTTCTCCTCATCTTTTGACAGTCTTTTCCTCCTTCCTTTCGACTTATTTCTCAATCGTTCGTCCCAAAGTTTAGAAATTGCATCATCCAATACAGCATTGAAATCTTCTTGAAGGTTTGAGCTGGTCGACGTCGCGCCGTCTGGCTTTGCTTCGCTGTTTTCTGCGACATCAATCTCCTAAGAAAGAAATGCAAATGTGAGGTAAAGTATTTCAAGAGAAATTGGAAGAAAATATTGCTTACTTTTACTTCAGGAACCAACTCTGGGATTGTTTCTTCTTTATTCGTATCTGACACGCTATTTGCATCCGCCATCTTGAGAAAATTCTTCAAGACGATTCGCTTTTTTCCCTGTTCACGAGCCGCAAAAAATGTCGCTGAGAATTACATAATAGTACGCCTTGGCTAAAGAGCCTCGTTTTCGTGATTGAGATAAATTAAATTGGAGTCTCGCTCTCATTAGTAAATTGCGCAAGTTGATTGGCTCACGATTCATGAGTTGTATTGGGTTTTGAGCCCTTTGTCTTGTTACAGGTAACACATTTACGAAACAATACAATTACATCTGTGAATATGAAAGACGTGTTTATAAATTGGTAACAAATTGAATGTATTGTAGGAATTGTTTATTTATATGTCATGAATTTGGTGTGAAGGTTAACCCCTTAACTATTTTGCCATTTTTGGCTCACGCTTTGGCGCGCGAGAGTAATTCGCGAGAGTTGTTCTCCCCCTGTATATCCAGAGTGAAGTCATTGATATAGTCCAACAGTCTGCCAGTGTAGATAGTGACAAATACACCAGAAAACTGCGGTTTGAAAGGGATTCAACTACCTGAAAAATACAAGGAGAACTTCGACGTTTCGAGCGAAGGCCCTTCGTCCGGAAGTAGACTCAAGTATACACGTAATAACGCACAAGTTGTAACAAACCTGCAGCAGACTTGTAGCAATGCTGTTCCAACAACCATTTGTCAACAGGATGTGTTCGCACTGCTTGTTCCCAGCTTGTTGGCAAGTTGGCAACATAGAAATAATAGGCAACGGCTTGTTGACAACTTGCTACAGTTAAGGTTGTTGAGCTCAACAGACTTGTTACAAGTTGTTCCAACAATTTGTTACCGTCTTGCTATTCAACAACTTGTCAACAAGTTGTGAGTGACAAACTTGTAGCAACTTGATAAAATAATAGCATTGTTACAACTTGTTGACAAGCTTGCTACCTGTTGCGAACACAAACCTGTTGCGAACACATCTTGTTGACAAGTTGTGAGATTTTTTTTTAGATTTTTTTTTGAGATTTCAGGTAACCGAATCCCTCTCCATCTGCAGTTTTGTTGACATAGTTCATACTATAAATGCTTGGATGGAGAGCTTTTCAATGGGGTCAGAGCAAATGATGCTAAATGTTTCCACGACATGTATTTGCCAGTAAATGCCGAATGCGTCAGTTTGTAGTCGCATGATAGTCACACGTTTTAGACACAAATTATATTATTCCATAAATAGATCCACCACGTGTGACAATTTCATAGATAAGCCTGCAAACTTTCGTATCTCCTGACACAGGGATCATAGAGGTAACAGCTGGATAAATTGCGGGCAGAATAGGCTTGAACTGCAATGTGGGTAGGTGGAGTATAGCTTCTAACATATCAACCGTCATCGCAGTCCAAGTTCGTAATTGCAACATTTCGTCGTTCTTCTTAATATGCACGTGTTTTCGATCACGCGAACAGAATGCGTCACTTCTTAAAATATCTGGACTGTCTACCTTTCGGCGGATACTCGTCAAAGAATCGTCACCGAAGTGGGAGCGAAGTTTGGACGGCGATGAATCTGGCGTCGAAGTTAAATTTCTTTCCAGAGCCTCGTTCTCGTAGCTACTATAAAGTCTGTTGTAAACACTGCTTAGTTGAGAGCATGCCTCGCTGAGCCGGCGAACTATCCACTCAGCGTCTTTGTCTACATTCACGTGATCATCAACTCCTTCAGGGTTGGAATTCTCTTCGTCGGGGCTTAAATTCCGGTCGCCTAGGAGTATCCGTTTGACTGAAGACCCGGACATATGTTCCCCATTGTACCGGCATATTTCTAGCAGGGTCTGAAGATAGAACTTGAAAGCCATCGTAGACTGTCGCAGGAGGTTCGCTGGCGCACAAAGACGGACGATCATTTGAATCAAAGATCGCAAACCAAACCTGTTGTTAAATTCGTATGCAACAGTGTGTGACTCCATTAGGCAATCAAAAATGATGGACAGGTTTGCTGGACTGAGGTAGTTCAATAAACCAGGCATAGAGCTGTCGTCTTCTGAGTTCGCTGGAGGATTCTTGGAAAGGTTTGCAAAGGAATTATCCTGGTTATCCAAGAGTACTAGACCCAGAGACTGCAGAAGAAGTTGATGCGCAAGAAGACCAACTACAAGATCACGCAGTGGTATCCTGGAAATATATACAGTTTTTAAAATAAATTTTTGAAGATATTTCTCATCTCAAATTATGACACTATAATAAGTTCCTTGCACACGTGAAAATCTACAACTTTCAACAAGATGTGTTCGCAACAGGCTTGTAACAATCTTGTCAACAAGGTGTAACAATGATGTCATTAAGTTGCTACAAGGTTGTCACTCACAACGTGTTGATAAATTGTTGAATTGCAGGAGAAGTTGTTAATTTCTTCTCTAAATCGTCAAATAGTACCTTGTGGTGTTCTCTGTACTTTCTTGATTATCACTCGAAGAGATAACGAAGAAAAACGTTCGGTGATCTTCGTCTTCGTTCCCCGGGAACTCGTCTTCGCTTCGGTCAAATTCTTCCTCCAGTTGCGACTCCAACAGAAACACCTTGAATTCAAAATATAATTTTTACATTTACATCAGAAAGAACACATATATAGATGAAGGGAAAATAAGGTTGAAGGTATAGTCAACACGGATCCTATATTAAGATCAACCCCATGCGTTTTGGCTACAAAAAATTAAATTTAGTTTTCTCAATAAATTAGCCAAATTACAAAACTATTTGTGGAGCTAAAACCCTGATTTTGTACTCGTTAGTCGTTAACAAACGGAAATCAAAGTGGATTTCTCCAGAACTGTAATCTCACTTACTTGCTCAGCTAACTGACCGTGCCTGATTGTCTGCTCCCAAGATGCATCACGACGCGTCAGCACTCTCACGCGGCATCCATCGTCACCGCTGACACTGCTTGAGCCCACTTGATAGCAGGGTATGAGGTGTTTTACAGGAGCAAGTGTGGATCGCATTGCACCACGAAGTCCTTCGCAGATAATCTTCCAGATATCTTCAGTAAATAGAGCGCCACCCGACATCAACAAATGTCTGGAAAATAAAAGTGTTTGTGGTTTTAGAACTATCTGAAGAAGGCTAAAAATACTGCAACGTTTTGAGCGAAACACGGTTTACCAAAAACCAGCAGCAGTGGTATAAACTCGAACGGTCTGCGCTAGCGCAGGTAGTAACACTAACACCAGAAAGATACAGATTGAAAGGCTGCTAACTTCAGCTAGTTCAGACACAAACCATGACAGCTTATTGTTGACTACCACCCATACACTAGACCACCACGTTTGAGATATCTTTCTCAGCTAGTTCAGACACAAACCACATTTATTGTTGAATACTACCTACACTGGACCATCACATTTGAGATATCTTTCTCAGGTAGTTCAAACACAAACCACATTTATTGTTGAATACTACCTACACTGGACCATCACATTTGAGTTATCTTTCTCAGGTAGTTCAGACACAAATCACGGCAGTTTATTGTTGAATACTACCTTCACTGGACCCCTACTTTTGAGATATCTTCTCACAAACACAAAGCACGTTGGCCATTCAGGTAAACATCTAAAATCTAAACCAACTAAACTCATGAACAAGCAAAACTATTAATATACCTGAAACATGAACAACCAACTCTTGCAATAACCTCGTCAGGCTGAGACACAGCCAACTTTAATAAACTCAGAACTTGTTGCATCAACGTCAACACACACTCCGAGGCTCCTGCAACAATCAAACGTGAGTTATGCAAGTCGGTTAAAACCCTGGGCAAACTGGCACACATTGTTTCCTAGTCACGTTCCTGGGCAAACCAGGACACAACCACCAACTAACATTCAAATAAATCCCCAATGAAACAATAACAATATGAAAAACTACCTTGATCACTCAAAAATTGTCCCATTTCACCAACAATCAACTCGGTTGTCAACCCGCATGCCTGTTTGAAGTTCCCTGCAGTTCTATCCCAGTATTCGGGCGTTTGAGTCACTTTCTCCAGCCAAGTGTGTAACATAGGTAGAAGCAAATTAGTCAGCACGAGGATGGAAAATTGAGGACCTGGGACGGAGGAGACAGAATGAAGAACATCGAAAAGCGTGTCAAGGGCCTGGAGCTGATACTTCCGTGGACACGTGATCACAGTTGTAGTCAACACGTCTAAGATGAGGTACCATACACGGAGAATACCGCTGTCATCCATAGCTGTGATGCTTCGGGCGTAGTTTGGAGCGAGGGTTGAAGAATCCTTTATGGTATCCGCTACGGACATTATAGGACTCGATGGGGATGATAAGGGTGATGATGAATTATCTAACATTACCGCATGTGATCCATGAAAGATGACATTTGCTGGTTTGACATAAATCGAGGCCAATTTCTTAGAAACTTTAGCAAGAAGTTCTAAAGCAGGGACACACATATCACTATATGGTCCTTCACTGAAATTGCTCTCCGTCTCACTCCCGTGCAGGCTTCGTTCGTCACATCCTTCCTCGGCTGCAGTCTGAACATGGAGGCACTTGGACAAACACAGGATGCAGTTGACGGCAGCTTGCGAGAACACTAACGCGGTTTTGTTTTCAACGAATAATGTAACAATATCTAGGATTTGGGGAATTGGTGTTTCGTGTTCGGTGGCGACTAAAGCTGGACGGGATGACACGTGAATTGCACGTGCAGCTGAGCATATTGCTCTCCATCCTGACTTGATGTTGCCAGTATTGGACTGCGCCAATTCGCACAGAATATGCAAGACCTACAAACATAAATTTCAACCATCAATTTGGGAAAAGCCGAATAATGTTTGATGCAAATAAATGAAGTGTTATAGCTATTAATAATTGACAATTTGTTTAAGTTAAAATAGGTTCAATGGTGATGGTTGGATTGGAATAAAGAAGATCAAATATACTTTTGATGCAGTTGGTTTTAGTTTTGATCTAAAGACTGAATGAATTTTTGATCCAGTTGTAATACATGATAAATTTTGGATCAACAAAAAATACGATGACCAAACCTCAAGATTTCAAATTTCGCAGTTCGTTTTGGTTTCTGCTGAAGGGAAAGTTGGAACATTTGGTTTCGCTTGAAGGGAACTAACCATCCACATTGATAATTGGAAATGTTAAAGATACATTGCTTGATCAAGTACTTGGGTCAAAATGACGCAGTGATATAACAGTTCAATACTTGCCTGGTCTTGATCTACATCATTAAGTTTCCCAGACATCAAAATATTCTCAAAAGGTTTGAATAGTGTTTCATGGAACCAGAAATGAGGCAGCTCGTTGCGGTTGTTCAGTAATACGACCAACGTGTCCTTGATAAAATCCAAGGCAAACTTAAATATCTTCTTCTTTTCACACATTATCTAGCATAAGGAAAAAAGAATATTTGTTATATGAACACTAATAGTTTACTTGTAACGTATTTATTGTATGTTTTTATTAGTCGAAAGTGATTGTTTTGATGACAGAAATGGTTTTCGACAATTTTCAAGGAGTTTAGAGTAGGTTAAGGTATTTATGAGACCAAAATTTATTCATTAAAATAAGGATCATCTTCCACATATCATACCTGGACAAAATGCGCAGAGACTGTTGCCCAGGCCCTCATCAGATGAAGAAGAGGTCTCTTTCCATCTCTAGTACATCTCAACAACATATCGACCATTCGGCAAAAATGAAGATTTGACGACAGCGGACCGTTGCCATGGATTACAGCCTGAGGATCATACGTCAGCACGCCCGTGGAACTTTTCTCCAACTGGTCAGCGGATGCTTCGGCTAAGGACTCAAGCATGGATACCATTGCATCGGAACTCAAGGTATTTGCTGCATGCTCAAACAAGCGATCAACAGAGGTCGACAGGGCGTATATAGCTCGAGATGCGTCTGTCGGGTTTAAGACTTGAGTTGTATCCGGCGTACTGTCGTGATGCTGTCGGACAATATCGGAAGCACTTCCGTCCGACGATATATCTGCGCTGACGAAGTCGGAAAGCGAAGATGCTTCGGAAACTGGCGAAGGCACTTCGACAACTTTACTGGATGGATGAGAGTCTGAGACGTCTGATAGAAACTGCGTATTCTGCAGTCCAGCAATGTACGAACAGCACCTACGAAAATGAGAAGCATAATTAGTTGATCATCTCCATTATAACTCGAATACAGCAATTGCAGAGGAGATGAGGGAAGCGAAGCTGATATGGTATGAACATGAGTCCTGAACTAGACGAATGGTAAAAGAAAAATAGAAGATACCTGAAAACATGTTTCCAGCATTTCGGAGCGTGACTTCCTAGTTCCAGGCCAACAGCCAATAGTGCGTCCATGGTAAGCACGTGTGCAGCATGAAGTTTCATCTTGTTTTTCACGTGACCAGCTTTCCATTTGGGGATATTCTTTGGAGCTTTCTCCCCACCACATGAGGCATTGGCAAGTTGTGATAAAACTGTCTCACAGCCAGTTTGGATACCTATACGCCGAGTGAGTGGAAGTAGATTGAACTCATTTCTCTTTACTTCTTGACGAACACGAAAAGATAAACTACTTTTATTTTTACTAGATGGGTCCATCAGTGCTACACTGTTCTCCCCAGAGAGCTAGTAATGACCACACCTAATTCGTTCAGCGTCACTAGACTCACTACACGTGATAATCGCATATATTTGGACCATAGAGAAACTTACCTAAAGTACAAAACAATCGAGCTATTCTTCGTAATCCATCCAGACTCAAGCAAACTGTATCTCGCTCCTTGTTGTGATGTTTCTTGCCTTCAGACGCCATCATCAAGGCTATACCAATACTCTCTTGTACTAAGATAAGAGCAAAATGATATGTTAAGATGATAATTAAAATACAGTTTCAGCTAACGACATTGACACTGGATAATTTTATCAGTTCGTACCTGCACCCACTAAAGGTGACTCTATGGGCACACGGAGAACATCGAGGAGAGAATCCCATGTGAGCAGCAAAATACGTCGGACAAACTTCACGCCTTGCTTCTGCGTGGTCGTCATGGAAGCTTCGTCTTGAACGTGAATGAACATTGCCTTGTCCATCGTCGTATCTTCGCTGTTCCTCGGAGTACGATTGTTATCCGAAAGCAGCTCGATGAGAGCACGGTTAGAGCTGACGTCATCAGCTTTATAACCAGCTTTCTCCAAGATATCATACGTCGTCACCAAGCGATATAATTCCCCCAACCAAACTGAGGAAAGACCAACATCTACACCACAATCATGAGTATTATTAATGAACTCTTCCTGTTTAACGAAAAAGGGAAAAAATAGTAAATTATGGTATATTTTTCAAATGTCAGGCTGAATTGGTTTTGATAAAACTGGATGTCTAAATGGCAAGTTTCAGGCGGTACGTTCGTAATCTGCTGGGTTAATTCTTATGCGCGAGATTTTCCTCGATAGTAAGGGGCCGAGACAAATAGATTTCGTCCACCGATCGCGGACTTGTTCCGCGATGGAGGAGGGGGTCAGCCTTGAATCCACGAGTACAAAATAATCAGGACAAAAACTAACTTTTCTGGCTAAAAAATCGCTGGATTGGTCCGCGATGGGGAAAGGGAGGGGGTTGAAGCGATCACGGAACAAGTCCGCGATCGGTGGACAAAATCTATTTGTCGATGTACCCTAAATAAAGTTTGACATTCTCATACCAGTATGACGAGCTCTTCTTCTTGTTTCTTGCTGTAGTAGCCAGCTCGATGTAGCTTCAAGTTTAACTTGAGTGTAGCATAGACTGCCGTGTAGACTCCGTCAGCGTTTAGGATTGGATAATGTAAGTATGACGTAGCGCCTTTACCAGAGGTATCGTCGAGAAGATCCGATGAACCACGAAGGGTTCCGAAGTTTGGGACGTTCTTACGTTTGAGTGCCATACACGTGACCGCCTCACAGACATCAGACGCAAACTGCTGGAGTGCTTCGTCTACTGCCGCTGGATCATGCAGGCTCAGAACGGATGGTAGAATACCCAGAAGACACCGCGCGAAGTTTCGTGCTCCTTCCTTCTCGTTTTCTTCGACTGACTTCCGTTTTTCGATAACCTTGCCAGGGCCTGACACGACCTTCTCAGGAGAGACCTGGGTTCTAGTATCGCGAGTGCGACTAATAAGGATGCCGTTAATTTTGACTAAACCAAGTTTCTTGTTAGTAAAGTCGTTCAAATGAGAATTCAAAAGAATTCCTTTCGGTTTAATGGCTTTATCATTGCCTTCAGTGTCTCCAGGAATTTCCGAGACTGACTTTGTTTTTCTGAGAATCGATCGGGATACAGCTGGTCGTTTTTCTAGGAGTTCATCCTCGTAGTCGTCGGTAGGAGAGTTTCCAACATCAGAGTTTGAGCGATGTAAGCGTTGTTTGTCATTTCTCAGAACTTTTGATGGCACATGGTCACCATTCACACGTCGTCTGTCACTAAGAAAGAATAACGAATTCATGAAAATCACGATTGAAGAGGCAAGGTCACGTGAGAGTTTTGGGGAAAATGAGTATGAACAACTTCAGAACTGCGGACAATTATAAGTCCACAACAGACGATCGACCAATATTTTTCATTTATTTGCCACCAAATAGAAAACTAATACATATCTAAGTTAACAATATATTCTCACTTTGATGGCGGCAATTTGACCACCCTCAATACTGTTACAATTACAAGTTACATTTTTAATGCACTCACTTGATAACTGGTTTCGCCTTGGACTTGCCATCGAAAGATGCCGATCTTCTCACGACGCCCGATCGAGCAGGTGACGAAGCAATTCGACGAGGCAAACCTACACGACGAGGAATCCCATGACGTTGACTGTTGCCATGGCGACCGAGCCTTTGATCTTCCCGATTTTCAATCGTAAATTCTTCCTCGAGGTCGGTAGCGAAATGCACGCTTTTTGAATGGTTCGAAACGTTGCCTTCTTCTGTGGCTGCAATGAAAAACAATGAATGAATAGAAAATCTATATGCATGCATGTGGTACATGCCTCTGGAGTTTGTAGCTGATCATATCACACCCTTCCTCCCCCCACTCTCCCCCGCGCATGCGAGAAGAACGCTTCCAGTTCGACTCCACTAAACACTACAGGGACGGGTTGTTCAACACATTGCTTTGGTTTATGTATATCTATCAGTCTTATGATAGTCTTTACGTACATCTTATGATGATCCAGACACAATTTCTGAAATTTTTTTCCAAGTTTATAAACAAGCTGCTGGGAACTATGCTTTCAATTTTGGGTTAACCCAGAAATAAGCTAACCGACTTTTGAACAACCGGCCCCAGGGGTTCTATTGATTGAACTTCTATGTTTTGCATTTCTATCATAAGGTTGATAGGCGTAACCTTTAGATACACTCACCATCTTGCTCTCGGCCGTCAGGATTGGTTCTACTGATATCCCACAGTCTGTCTGTGTTGGCAAACTTCTGAGTGACAGTCTCTAAGTCCATTTGATCCAAACTGAGATGGATCTGAATACAAAATATAACTAGTTAGACTCCCTGGATGATCAACCAACCAACCAACCGGCAGACTAACCAACAGACTAACTAACCTGTTTTTGTGCTGTAAGTGCCTGCGGTCCTTCATCCATTTCCCAGCGGATATGTTTAGGTTTACCATGATGCACTTCGATCTTCTCATCCTCATCAAACGCCTCATTGGCCAAGGTGAATTTTGGAATTGTCTGAGGTGAATCTTCAGTGGTTTTGTTCGAATTTTTCTGTTCCACTTTTTCCCAGCCATCGACATCTTCAACTTTCTTTAAAAGTTCAACTTGTTCTTGAGACAGTCCTTCCCCCTGGCTGAGTTCCTCCAGAGAGCCAAGCAGAGCAACGACACAAGCCATGCTGCCTCCAACAACACTCAAATCTGGACAATGGGAACATTCCACGATACCATCGAGTAGACTAGAAAAAATATTCAATGTAGTACACCCTGTACGAGTGGTACTTTAAAGTGATTTGCAAGTACACTGTACTTCAGTAGCAATGCTGTTCATAGCAACTGGTCATGCTATGTAAATAAACATACATCCAGATAGGTTAAAGACAACACATTCTAAAGGTTTGGGCTTCCTTGTCATCAACATGATAAAATTGATTTGTTGTGTTGTGATCTTTGTGTAATGTGGTGCTAAATCAAATAAATTTCAATAATGCAAATCATTAAACATTTGCATAGCATGACCGGATACTATGACTGGCTTCGCAACTGCTGTACTTATAATTGTAGGTGTACAACCGAATATCGTGTTGTCAAAATACTAAGTTGACACGAGCCGTATCCCAACCTATATATTACCTATTTTATCGACAACTCTTGTCAAGAGGCTTTTACAAATAAAAAAATAATAATTATGTTTCAAAATTATGACAATCCCAAATTGATTAAAATGTTATATTAAAAAACGTTAGATATTGGAAATATTTATTGGAGTATTGTTCATTCAACGAAGAAGACTGGTTTTCAACCAATTAGGGGAGTACAAATACGAAATCATGGACTTACACTTTAAGAAGGTCGACTTCAGATTTCTTTTGCTCTGTAGGCGAATCTGGAGTTGGGGGAGTACTGGGATCTAGAATAACAGGGCCAGCTATATCGACCACGTGACTTGGACTGGCAAAAATCTACGAAAAATGAAAATAATTGGATAGATGCAGATACGAATTATATCTACGGATATCACTGGGAAATCACTGGAAATATATTTAATGATATCTACGGATTTCACTGGGAAATGCAGAGAACTTACATCATTAATTGCTTTCAAAGCCTCGGCTCTCTGCTGTGGGGGAGGATAGAGAATGATACGATGAAACAAGGACTCCAGTACAGGACGCATTGTGCCCATTGGTCCAACCAATCGTATTAATTCTTTCGAAATATTGTAAATAATACGAGCAACAGACTGTAGTGGTTTTGACTTGAGTGGAGAGCCGGCACCCCGGCCTCCACGCCCTCCGTCTTCGGGGTAGGCGCCCTGGTTTTTGGTCTTCGCGCCCACTTCGCTAACTGGACTACCAAGGAGATGGATCAAAGTTGGACACAAGTATTGCCTGGAAAAAATGACGTTTATGAAGCTATTCAAGATCAACAACTTAGATTACTACCCCCATGGAGGCCTAACAAAGCCAAAACTGAATACCATCGTTTGTTATTACGAATAAAAATGAACAATCGCAGAAAAAAATTTTGTCTGATAAAAAAATATTGTGTATTGAGAAATGCTGTGGACAATGACTATTAAAAGACGACCCCCATCCCCCTCATCAAGGACAAGGGTTTTAACTATATCCCTGCATAGAATACAGAACGCAATAGTTCATTGAAATTGCACAAAAACTGTTCCAAATGATGGTGCAAGTCACTGAAGTCATAGTGGTATAAGTGTATTATGCTTAATCTTACCATAAAACGTTGATGAAGTCTTTCTGTTGTCTAATGGCGACCGATAAACTGGATACTAATACGTAAACAGCCTCAAGGTACAATGACAATACGTCGTTCTGCAGTGTGCTGCCACTGAAACAAACAAACAAAAAAAATAAATTTTATATTTGTTGATGAGTGCCCCCATACGCGGCATGCGGGAAGGTGAGTTTTGCCCGTTTCACCGGTAATATCCAGTCAACTTTCATGCAAACTCTCGCTTCTCAAATTTCGACCAGGCCTTTACCTTTGACTAGGTGATAATCGCAAGCAAAAGTGTTTCATCAACATTAAGACATCTTGAGTTAAAATCTTGCTTGACTCATTTGAGATGAGATCCAAACCTGTCGGAAAATTGTTACAGAATCCAATGGTCAATATAACAATAAATAAATCAATAAATAATAAATCAAAATTGATCATCATACCATTCTGTGAAGATCTTACCTCGTACGGAGTGTGGCATATCTTTCGAGTGATGAGATAGCTAAAAGACAAACACAACATTACCAACAATATTATAAGCACAGCTATAGTTTTTAAGCACAGCTATAGTTTATAAGCACAGCTATAGTTTATATTCTCGGTTAGGCTATCTTGTACCACAGAAAAGGGCTTCGTTGCTTTGGGGGCCCCTTTTCAGTTGGGGGTCCGGGACAAAATGAACTACCTTTAAAATGAACCAACATCATTACCAAATTAAAATAGTTACAAAAATCTTTTTTACCATTTCTTTTTTCAAGCTTTCCTCCAAATCATTACAAACAGAACTCATCATCTGTGTCAATGTTGCTCGACATGCTGTTTTTGTCCATGTCTGACTTGAGCGAGTATACGTTTCAATACACACCTAAAAAACATGGATTGGAAATATTAATAAGAACTAAGGACTGGATAGCTCCAGCTGAACAAGCATCAGATGTAATGTAATGTAATGTAATGTAATGTAATGTAATGTAATGTAATGTAATGTAATGTAATGTAATGTAACCTAACCTAACCTAACCTAACCTAACCTAACCTGTCACATTGCAGAAATGTAACCTGGTTATAAAGGTGCAAACACATGCTGGGTTGGCTAACCACTCTGTGGTACTTCTCACCTCAGCAATTTTAATCAGGTATTCACCATGAACTTCACACGAGGCTGAACACGTGATCATAAGTAACATCTGAAGAAAAGTTGATTACAATAATTCTAATTAACTGGATAAATAATATGGATATAAATATGGAAATATTATCCCTTCCTATCCACAAACCTTCATGATTTCCACCTGTATTTCATCAGACATAGACGGCGTAGAAACGACAGCGTTGACAAACTGTACTGGAAGTTGACGATGCACATCTCCTTCCACCAGAGACTGGAAACGTTCGTCTGAAATCAGCTTCTGTAAAATAAACATGAACATTTGTGATTTGGTCACGGCAAGTTTGCGATTACCGGATTAACATTTCCAACAGCGCAAGTTTCCATGTGGATATTATCAATTAGCCATTCCGAAGTTGATCAGTGGACTGGGGACGAGTGTTAAAGTGCCCAAATTAAGAAATGAACCATATCACTAAAAAGACCACCCCAAAATTAGTAAGTACACAAAGTTTGAAGACGTTTACACGAATATCCTTCGAATAATAAGCTTTCGAAAATCGTGATTTTTACTATGAAATGTATTGTAATTTCTTGTTTTTGGGACGCGCGTCCCAAAAACAATCTTTTAATCAGTAATTTCACAATTTTCGAAAGCTTATTATTCGAAGGGTATTCATGTAAACGTCTTCAAACTTTGTATACTTAATAATTTTGAGATGGTCTTTTTAGTGATTTGGTTCATTTCTTAATTTGGGCACTTTTTAACACTCGTCCCCAGTCCACTGATCAACTTCGGAATGGCTAATTGCACTTTACATCCAGATATTACGCTTACCTAATTACATATTTAGCCTAAACTATGTTATCTTCACAACAATTGTGATATTACTTTCTTAACTATGTTTATCCTATAACCCACCCTGTCAACTTTCCCTGTGGGAGGAAACCGGAGCGCCCGGAGAAAACCCACGACTTTCAGGAGAGCGTTGACTGACTCTTCTCACATGAGTCCATAGCGAGAATCAAACCCACGAACTTAGAGGTGAAATGCACTTACTCTGATGACTGCGCCACCACATGCTTTGCTGTGCCTTCAGAGTTCGTATTAGAAAGCTGAGACTTATATACTTACATGGAATCCTCCCAACGCATGGCTCGAAAGCTTCGACACTCGAGACTCCAAAGCAAGTTTCAAAGGCAATAAGCATTTTTCTCTATAGAACAACAAATATATTAAAACTTCGAGATTGATCAACAAAGATTCATATCAGTCAATTTCAACTAGACTTCGGTTGATAGATGCACTAACTACCTGAAAAATACAAGGAGTACGTTTCGAGCGAAAGTTCTTCGTCGTTTGATTACTACTTCCCAACCAAGCCCAAGGGCCTTCGCTCGAAACATCGAAGTTCTCCTTGTACTTTTCAGGTCCTACTATCTACACTGGCATGCACAAGTAGTTCAGGATTATAATTTGAAACTATGACTGTTTTGCAGATGTAATATATGCGATCGTAAGTCAAAGGAGCGATAGAATACAATGTTGATATATCCCGTGATCAGGTAGAACTAATTTGCATACAGCAGACAAAAGACATTAAGATATATCTCGGCAACTTCATATCGAAGATTATGACTACGACATTCGCAACCAAATTAAATCCACTTCAATCAAACCTCCGTATTAGAACTTGATCAGAAATGTTACAAATTACAAATTAAAGATTGACTAAAATTTGCATCGAATCAGTGAGCCATTTAATGACTTGGTACACTTCATTAACCACGACTAATTCTAACCTCAGTTCGTACGGCTCCACTCCTCTGGCACTCCGCTCGCGAGATAAAGCCACTGGAATGATCAACAAAACAGAAAATTAGTAAACTCTCAACTATAAAACCTCAGACCTTGAACTAGATCAGATTCTTACCTAAGCCTTCATCACAAGCGTCGGTAATAGCTTTGAGCTTGCCAGCAGTCGCGTCCATAGACAAATTTTCCAAGATTGTTTCCATTTTGACCGTAGAATATATACCATATATATACCACAATTTCACGGCATATTTAGACTAACAATCCAATACTCGTTTTGCATACAAGAATCTCGCTAAAATACTTTAGCTTAGCTCAAAAACGACGCAAACAATTAGTAGTAGTGCTACGATCTACCTGTCGTTGAACAAAAGTCGTCACAAAGGATGAAAAGCCATGTGGTAAACAGGTACCGCGCGCGCCCAGAGAAAAAAAGAGCCGACGGTTGAAATAACATGTTGAAGCTGGATAAGTAACTTTATTTACACTAGATAGTGATTTTGTTGAAGGATTTTGTAGATGAAATTATCGAGTGTGAATTTTATATATTTATTTAGATCTAAACAGGAACAGTTGTGAAAAATGCAACTATAGACCTTCTGGCAGGAATTGAACCCGAGGCCCTGCGATTCCAGTGCAGTGCTCTATAACCAGGAATGTTGCGTAAAGTCTACATTGTTCTCTCTAGATGTCGTTAAAGGTCATGCTGTATTGGTGCACTGTAGTTTCCACTGCAGAAGGAAACCCAATTTCCTGGAGACTGCGATGTTTGAGTCAAATTGCATGTAGGACCATAGCAGGAAGTAACATTTTTGTTTCTGAGAATCCGAAGTTTTTGGTGTCAAAGTTTTCTGCGGAGCACACTAATATTTTTCCTAATAAATTACTTCCTGTGCCTGTCAGCATTATGCAATGCCCTAAATTTTTCTGCCAGCGAAGCTAGGAAATTTTCTAGGATCCCAGATGCCAAGATCCACCATTTATTCCTGCTATACACGAGACTGAGACGAATGACAATCAGACAGCTGTATACAGCACGCCGGATTCGAACCCTAGAGTAGTAGGGATGAGATGCACCATCTGTGGCAACACTGCTTTAGTACTGCATGATAAAATCTTGCACCTGAAACAAATGTTGACTAACAAATACGGTTAGGATAGACAAGTATTAAGAAATAATGAACGTTTCTTTACATATAATTATATCAATTAATACACAATTTTTCTATGCCAGAATTATACTATATTATTTTATACGATAATAAATTATAATATATCATCACTATTCATTACTACAGTACATGCTTCCTGGAAGCCAATTATATACAATGTATAATAGCGTGCATGTACCATCCATTAACTGTGGTACCATACACCACAGTGCATGTACCATACACTACAGCAACAAGGTGTAAATATCTCAGAAGGGCCAACTGTATATATCATATATTCAACCTGATCTCTAACATCAAATTGCATTAGATGGAAAAGTAGCCCTGATCTTCTAAACCCCACCTTTTAACCTCTAACTACCATGAAAAATTCACCCACAATACCATAATTTCCCACTACACCTTGTCACTATCAACCCCCTGGCAATTCTGTGACATCACACACTCTATCATCACTCCCCGCCACCTCCCTCGTCACTGTATACCCTGAAATCACCACCGCGCTATCAACCCCCTACACATTAACTAGCATGACAATTCTGTGACATCACACTCCCATATTCCCCCTCGCTATCATCACTCCCCGCTCCGTCCCGCGTCACTGTATACCCTAAATTCATCATCATCACTTCAAAAGGATCAGTCTTCATTCGTCTTTGATTATCTTTGGCCACCTGTGCAAACTCATTATCTGGAACCCGTCGCTCATCACCAGTTTCCTCAGGGTGCTCGGCCTGCGGGCTCCACAAACGCACGACCGGGTCTATGCCACTCGTTGCTAAGATACAACCACTTGGGTGTGGTTGTAAACAGTTAACTATCGAATCATCACCTTTCAAAATTCTTAACAAATTTGTTGTTGATTTTTCCCAGAGAAAGAAACTACCATCATCGCTGCCAGCAACAACATATTCACCATCAGCACCAAAGAAATTTGCCTCCTTGATATCTGTCGTAGTATTGCAATGGCCACAGAATCGTGCCTTATAGTCACTTGACTCTTTTCTCAGTCCTTGCTCACAATCATTTATCTTTCTTAACGATCCTATAACTGAGCTTGGGTAAAACTCATGTCTTCTTGATCTCTCGCGGTTTGAAGCCTTTCCATTACCATCTAAAAGAAACAATATGTCAGCAAAGCAAGCAGATACAACTTGCCCAACACTCCCCGGTAAAAGTATCTGTAGTTAGACATAATAAAACGACAAAGCAGGGCACAATTTCACACGTAAAAAGTAGTGTTTCTCCTCATACTTACCTTCCGTCTGTGAGACCAAAGCAGCCTTAATATCCCGCTCCAGACCTTTCACCAATTTCGTATTGCATTCATCTGGAAAACACGTCATAAAACGTGTAAGGCAAGCCTCGGCTTCTGGAAACCACTCCATTTCAAATAAACATCGAGCTTGTCTGTAAGCTGCTTTGGAACTGTTTGAATCAAGTGTTAGAGCTTGTTCACAATCACGAAGTGCGGCATACACATCCCCATACCTATCAAAATGAAGATATAAGAAGACATGACAAACTTTAGACCATTGTTTTTTTATTATTTATTGAAAATAATTCAAGAGTTTTGATTGGCTAAGGACTGTCGGTGAAATAATTTCGCGGTATATTGAAAAACAATGTAACACGCTATGAGGTCACGCTAATTTATGCGGCTTATGCCAAAAGCGGGAAAATACAAATGGCTTCCTCAAAGGCAAGGTTCGCCGACCTTTTTTGTGTATTCCCACAAATAAATAATAAAACAATTATTGAATTCAATTCTCACAGGATATGAGGAATTATTAAGGCCTCGGTTTGTGTTCTCTGCCTCAGACTTTGGCTTCTGCAGACTTTGGCTTCTGCAGATAACACAAATCTCGGCTTTAATAATTCCTCATATCCTACTCAACCTCATTCAATAATTGTTGAATATTTCTGCTGTATATTAGCCCTCTTCTAAGCTAAGTACTTACCAGCCACGTTTCAAGTAAGCAGCAGCCCTATTGGCATAGAGAATAGCAGAATCTGGAGCTAAGATAAGGGCTTGATTGTACAAGTTTATTGCTCCCCAGTAATTTTTGTGTTCATATTCCACATTTGCTCGGCCTTTTAGCTCCAGTGCTTTCCCAAAGAGTTGTGGAGATTTTTCAGGTGTACTTGTATCTTCTTCATGCCCTTTAGCTATTGTGTAACCATTTGCGCTAGGCGGTTTACTTTTATTTGTATCACTCAGTTTCCTTTTAGTTAAAGTGGCACTGGTAGCTTTCTTCTCATCAGTAACACCACTCGTTTCATGATGTACAAAACCATTACGTGATGATGTACTGGCGTTCTCGGTACCAAAACATGCTGGTGTATATGACAATGGTGAACGCTGTGTATTGATATCAAACAAGTATAACTGTTCACCACCTAAATTCACCAAAAGTTCCTGACCATTTGGACTGAATGTTAAGTAAGTTGATACTATAGATCTCCGCTTTCCACGGCGTGAGTTACAAGGTAGATGACCGGGCGTAAAGTACCGAGCACAGCTGCTTGGCAAGCTTGCCGTGGCATTTGGACAAGTTTGAGTAGAGCAATGAGTCACCCCTAAAGTTGTGCAATGTTTTGTAAGCATACGTCTATCATACAACCGTACGTAAGGATCACTACAGCCAATTGCCAGAAGTTCTGAGCGGCATGGATTAACTTCAATACATTTCACTTCGCAATTAGGTCCGACATGAATCAACAGGTCAAGCAAAGTATTCTTGCAGTTCTCATTTGAATGACACATGTGAGATTCACGCAAATCAAATTGCCTAAAAGTATAAACAAATGTGTTACTGTAATTTATACTGCATCCATCATGTTTTACTTGAGACAAGACGTAAAATCTTGAATGACTGCACATTACTGTAAGTGTATTAAGTTCTTTGTATGATGTAAGTGTAGTGCACTCCAAGCCTCTTTCAAATTGACTGCATTTTTCACAGGGTCTATCAAGTCTGTTATGAAATTAGTCTCGTATTCTATTGAATACACCCTTCCAGAAGGTATGTTACTTTGGTTATAAAGCCTCGTTTTCATGTATGTGAGATCTGTTTAATCCAAGTATCTCAATCATGAAAACGAGACTTGATAACCAATGTAATATACTTTCTGGAAGGGTAGTTTATTGGGTCAGACTCTATGATCATGAGTGTAACAAAGTATGTTGTGTTGCAATGATATCAAAATTAGGAAAATCGACTACCACATATGCTTGCAAAAACCTACCTAATCGTGCCATCTTCGGAGGCACTCCAAACCAAATGTGGAGCATCAGGACTTGTTGTAAGACGTTTGACTCGGGTTGCGTGACATTTAAACGTCTGGATCGTATCTTGCTGTGGTACAGAATGAACACGGACTTGAAAGTCTCCAGCACCTGTAACCAACACTTGGTCACCAGTGTGCGGCATAAACTGAACAATAATAAAGAATGTACATGTAATCAACACGGGTCACATATAGTACAATAACCTGTCTGTGTCAGAGCCTCCTGAAAGGCTTTTTCCATGTCTGTCTGTGTCAGAGCCTCCATGCAAAGGCTTTCTGGTGTCAGGCAAGTTTTAAGGCATGACAGGTGCTGCACCTGAGCGCAGGCTACAGCTTCAGGGAAACAGGAAAATTCCCTGATCCAGGGAATTTTTCATCTTTTGCATGAAATTTCTCACCCAAACCACAGCAATGTATTAGAAATAAATATTTTTAATAGGAAAGCAAAAACAGGAAAATTCAGTTGCAAATGTACCTTTACAGAGAAAATATTGGCGCTGTGTCCAGTGTTGATTTTATGTTTTATTCTGCGTTTGAATGGATCCCATAATATGGCATGAAGATCATCTGATCCTGAAGCTAGAATGCTAAATAATAAACACTGGTATAATCTCAAATATGTATTGGTTACACATTATAGTTAGTTTGTCACTAGTCATTTAGATACACAAAACATATATTTTACATAGACATATAGCTACCTGCCACTTGTGTTCCAGTGCAAACAATTGACACATCCTTCGTGACCCTGGATTGTTTAAAATCAACAAAATAAATCAAAGTTGACAAAGACGTACCCCCAAATTCTACAGTAAAAGACTGTTTATGTGAAGGCAAGCCAGCCACGGTAACCTTAGGATTCACCTGTTGTTAATATTTCTGATCGAACTTCAACTTGCATTTTCATGGGAACCAAGTGAGGCTGCTTGATGAAGATGAGAGTTGATGAGGTTAGCAACTCTCACTCGAATTTGACCACCAACTCATCGACTTTGGACTGGTTCAAATATTGACGAGAGTTGGAGAGTTTCTGCTATGCATGCAGTAATATCCAGCCAACTCTCATGCAACATGCAAACTCTTGCTTGCTAACTCTCATTGAACTTTCATTCTTGTTAATTGACCAGCCTTTAGGGTGGGTATTTCCCATATACAGGCGCTTTACAGTCAACTCGGCCCACTAACCAACTCGGCCCACCGTTCAAGGGACAACTCCGGCCGCTCGTAAACTGACTAATCTAACCACTAAACAAGCTAGGAGCCATGACTGCATTCTATCTTTGCAAATTTTGAGAGAGATCTGAATGATCAGTAATTTAGTATCAAAACGGACAGATCGAGAATTGGAAACTTCGATAGATTCTTCAATTAAATTAAGTCAAACTAGATGTTCTCAAACTTTACTCAACTGTATGCCCAATGCAACTGCAAATGGCTGTATTGGTTTGGTGCTATCTTCTGTAAAATATTAGCTTTCCTAATATGTCAAACAGTAGTTAACAATTGGGCCAAGATGGTATGGGCCGAGTTAGTCACTGGGCCGAGTCACAGAATAGGAAGTTATACCAGAAGCGTAACTCTAGTCGTTTCCCTTATTGTTTGACGTCCACGAAAATTTTAACTCGCTCACGTCAGGCCACGCCATCCTGGCTAGTACAGCCGGAAGTTTTTATCAGGATTTGGTAGGTACAAAGTGCCGGTTGTACTAGCCAGGATGGTGTGATTGATGACGAATCGCTTGTAAAAACGCGGACAAATATTTGCTCGAGTTACGCTTCTGGTATAACTTCCTATTCTGTGGCCGAGTTGACCAGCTTCCATACACTCAGGCAATTAATTACCCACTCCAGAACATCTTATGTAAACACAGCTGAAAATTCTCGGTAAAAACAAGTTGGCTTGGAGATTTATGTTGGCTTGCTTTCATATAAACAGCCCATCTTCTTGGCCCCATTAGGGACTAGAGCATTAATGTACAACATTTTATATTAATAATTTGCAAGATATTATTGAATTACCCGAAGAATTACCTGAAGTTCTGTTTCTAAAGCTAATCGCTTCACAAGCTGTCCATAAACCTGTAATTTATTCTGCAGTGTTCTGTTAAATCTTTCCTGTTTTAAAAATAAGAAACATAATAAGATACACTCACACACAATGAAAGACTGAAAGCTAGCAAGACAATTCAGAAATCAAGTTCAAACATGTAAACAATATCAAAAAAATATATAATTGGACTATTAATAAATTTGTATACACAAATGTTGTTTAAAATCTATAGGTTTCATACTTACGTTTTCTTCTCTTCCTTTTAAAAGCCTTGGTACATTTTTTGAAAACATCGTTTCAATACGCAAACAAGAAGAAAAGAAAATATTTTAATATCGTCGGAAGTCAATGTGTCATAGATATTTGGCATCCATTGGTACAGAAAATATATTTAGCCATTTCTATATTTCTTGCAAATTCGACAATATAGACTTGCATGTTGACGTTTCTAAGTTGCTGAATTCATGTGTAGAAGCCTTCACGACGTTTGCTTGTAAATTAAAAATGAAAATATTAAAATACAGCGAAGCTCAATTTGCACAAGATTTGCTCAAAACACAACAAAGTTGGGAACGTCGTCACGTCATGTGTCTTGAGCTTGGTAACCGCGCCGATGCAGATTATGCAAATTTTCCCCATCCTTTTCTCCCTTCTTTTTCCATCCATCCATCCATCCATCCATCCATTCTTTCTTATTTCTTCCCTCCATTTTCCCGTCATTCCTCTCTTCAAATTCCAAGTGTTATTTTTATATATCAACCATATATCGCAAAGTCAGTAATTTAATAACTTGAGTTGATAAATCAACGACCAACAATATGGACGCTCTTGTTTTATTTTTGGACGGCTATTTGCACACATATCGGAAACAAGGGAATTTGAAATTATTCTTGATTGAGATATTCAATTAAGATTTCGAGGCCTAATAATATGTTTGCATTTGGGGGTTGAAGAGCATGGAGAAAAGAGGGATTTTTAAGACAAATTGTCATAGGAAGACAATGGATTATGAGTTTGCTTGCCAGACAGAGTTTTTGGCCTACTATCTACAGTAAGCTAAAAAGGGAATATGGTCATATAACCATTGACATCGCAGACTTCTAAAATGGGAAAAGCCTACTGCTTTTGGATGTTGTAAATTAAATTTTTGAATGTAGTTTTGAGGGTCATCCAGGGGTTTCTAGGGAACAAGGGGTATTATGCAATGGAAACAAAGTAAAAAATATGTGAGCTTGCGAACAATAAAAATGGTGAAATATTTGTAGGAAACAAGGGGGAAATTTCCATGGGGAGATCCCTCCTGGGAGACGTTCAGTTTTTCTACCATTGATTTGTTTCAGGATTTGTTCCAGGTAATCTATATAGGTCCCCGTCTGTCGTTCCATCGGCATCGTCAATATTTTTGAATTTATGTTTTATAATTTTTCAACGAATTTCATTGGAAAATACTATGCTGAAAACGTGTGTGCATTCTGAGGCAAATCAAAAAAGAGATGTCACTAACAACGGAAACAGAAAACGATAAAAAGCGAAGTCGGAGATTTGTAGACAAGATATCCAAAATGAACATTGTTTCTTGCCTGATTTGGAGACAAAGTACCTGCATATCTCGCTGCTTGCCTGTACAGGCTTTTAGCAAAAACAATGTGTACAAAATCAGCAATGTTTGTTTTTAAATAAATGCTAATGAATGGAAATTTTGTATATGATTTGTCTATGATAAATTATTACCTTATACTTTTGAGAAAGTCGTGCAAGGCAAGTCAAGATGAGAATATAGGATATTGTTAGCATATTATAATTATTTTAAAACACATCATCAGAGCTCATAGAATAAAATGTCTACCAATAAACGTGGTGTTTCCTCACCACGAAAAACCTCACAAAAGCACTACCGCTATGTAGCTGCCATTAGAATAACTATTTCGAAACACGACCACGCACATGGGGATATATTGAATGAATCAATCTGCATGGGCATTGAACTTTTTTTCACATATACTTATCAAAGATTCAAATATTTCTAAAAATTAGTAAAAAGTTCTAGAATGTAGATGACATGAGGATAATAGATAGACATATGTGATACCATAAATTCGACCATAAGTTTTTTTCTCTATTAATTAGCTGACAAATTATAGCTGACAATATTTTTTTGCAAATTAGCTCTCAGGGAGATTGCATTTATTTATCATGTAAAAAATGAACACAGACATGTTAGGGGTATCAGACATATGCCCTCGAAGACCTAAATGATTTGAGAATGAATTTGATATATATGAAAAAGGTTTACAAAGTCACATACTTTGACCTATAAGCATGTTTTGATCATAAACACATCACCAGTGTTTTGGTAAAAATACTTCATTCTGCATATAAACTGAATACATGCAAGTGAAAGCAGCCTCTACAATGCAAGCTCTTAAAAAGCCAGTGGCAGACAGTAATGATAGCTGAATAACTGTGTTTTACAAACGGCTGGAACAACAATTTTTCAACCATGAAATTTTTCAACAAGTTGTTTAATTAATTAAATAACTTATCTTTGTTTTTGCTAAAAAAAATCTAATTTTTTAACTTCGTTATGGATCCTTGGAGTGTTTTCCGTACGAACTTTTTTGGATTTCCTGTTTTTAACCTTATCAGACAGCACTTTATGCAGCTCGCTTACGGCTATTGAATATTTGAATTAATGAAATTATCAAATTATTTTCTAACGCACCAACATGGCTGAATTTAGAAATGCTATTAATGTACCAGGAAACGAATGCAGTACCAGTAAATATAGAACACCAATATTAAAATATCACACAAGGATATCTCAAATATGATTAATGTAAATTTATATACGTAGATATGACGGTAACAGACCGGGGCTATCGCTTGAAACATTCCCAAAAACTTCATGCGTTATAGTATGAAAACTAACGATACAACTATCACCACTTAAGACCACACTGTTGCCGTCCTTTTACACGTACTTGAGCCACTTAAGTTAAACATATCTTGGAAAGTTGTTTATATCATAAAAATTGTCATCATATCATAAAAATTAGATTAAAGAGCAAGTACTTCATACATAGTTGGCCTATTTTCAAATATCTATTCTGAGACTCTTGCACCCAGAAGGCATTTTTCGTCAAAACTCCTTAATTACCATTTCCGTGACTTTTATATTTTTATATTTTTATAACATTAAGTAACTGCGTTTTACGAAAACAAACTCTCAACTATTTGGCTATGGATCCGAAGAAAACAAACAGGGTAGCATTTACTGTTTTTCGGTACATAGTCTATGGTGGCCGATCGCTATCATTCATATTTTTGTTAATAATAAAAACAAAATTTCCACGGCTCATGTGGAAGTCATGTGGTGTGTTTTATGTGAATTCACTGACTATTGCTATACTTGTTGTAAGAAAGAGTAACTTTTAAGAGTCAAATAAAGCTTTGTTAAGCCTGGCATGGTCGTAATGATCGTAAAGATTGAGTCACGATCTTTCTCATCAGCCGAAATACAAGAGAATGGGAGTATGATTTATATGCAGACAATAGGGCCATTTATACGGAACAAAATAAGACGCGACTTACATAAGACGCGACTTAAGTAAGACGCGAGTTTGTCGTATAAAAGGTACAAAATTCTTATGTAAGACGCGTCTTGGATAAGACGCGTCTTACATAAGAACAGGTCCTTTAGCTGTTCTTATTTAAGTCGCGTCTTAAATAAGAAATTTTGGACAAAAAGTCTAACTACACATGCCAGAAACTTGAAACAACGTAAAATTTAATGCCTTGCATATTAAAACAAAAACAACCAAAACAACATTATAGCTATAGCAAATAAATAAGACCAAAGCCGTAGAAAACCATTTATGCGATAACTCCACTTATTTAAGCCGCGTCTTATGTAAGTCGCGACTTATTTTGTCACGTATAAATGGCCCTAATGTAGTTTACATGCAGGTATAAACTATTATAAACTGGCCGTTGAGAAAGATCTTGACTGTATTGTTACGACCATGCATTACGACCATATGGAAACCATGCAGGTTTATTTAATGCTGCTTTAGCTCCTGAAGTCGTAAGGGCATTATTTTATCAGACTATATTGCTACTCGAGCGTTGTTTTTTTGGATTTTTTTTACGGAAAGATATCGATTAGCCCTTTCAAGAGGCAACTAAAGTGCAGTGACGTATGCTTTGGCTCGCATACAAAAATGTAGATAACTTTGTTTTCTACCATAGCCGGTTGCCAAACAGGCCCAAACTCTCTGGCAGATGTTTCGTGTGTATACCATGGCCATTCAGTGTTAATTGAAAACACATGGACACTTCCAGGAAACGATCCTTGATTACACTAGCCTGCATGGCAGGCGGTACTTAGTTCCTTTGCCTCCCTACTTTTCGCTGCCTGTAGAAATACCGCCTGCCGCGCAGGCTATGATTACACCTGTTGTGTGTTCTGAGTTAAAAAGAACGCTTATAATACAGATATTAGAAAGGCTCGTTTACACTTACAATTTTTGCTGCGTTTCCAGTGTGATTTCCTTCTTCTGATGGATGTGAACGAGTAGATGCGCTATGAATGTTCGGAGTACATGTACCCTCATCTAAACATTCATACTCGACCACTCGTTCACATCCATCAGAAGAAGAAATCGCATCCAAAATCACAGCAGAAATTGACCATTTGCGTAATAGACTAAATTTTGATCTAGACAAAAATTTCATCACAGCTTGAAAGAGCATCACAAAATTAGTAATATTCCAAAGTTTCGTTGCGAAATGTTGTAAAATGCGGATAATATAGCCTTGCGAAGTTTGCCGTTTTTCAGTCATTTTGTATTACAAACGGGAAATTGAC